AAAAGTATAAGGAGTAAGCTTCTTGATATTGGACTTAGACATTTTTGGGGTCTGATATCAAAAGGAAAGGCAGCAAATGCAAAAAAGGAAGTAAGATGGACTACTCCAAACTAAAATGCTTCAGCACAGAAATGAAAGCCATAAACAAAGTAAAAAGGCAATTTATAGAATGGGAAAAATATTTACAAATCATAGATAGGATAAGGGATTAATATCCAAATTATATAAAGAACTCTTACAACTAAATAGCAAACTGCCCATAAACAATCTGATTTAAAAATTAAACAGAGGAACTGAACAAATATTTTTCCAAAGAAGACATACAAATAGCCAATAGGTGCATGAAAAAGATAGCTTTCGGTGAATGGTGTCAGATTCATGATCTCCGAAGATGATGATTTACCTTCAGGACCAGGGACCAGGCTTGATCACTCAAGAGCTTTTATATAGCAGAGTTTTATTAAAGCATAAAAAGGAATAGAGCAAGCTTCTGACATAGACATCAGAAGCGGGCCAGAGAGTGCCCCTCTTGCTAGTTTTAGCAAGCTGTTTTACGTCTGTTAGAAAGCTATTAATCAGATAAAGGAGACACCTCAAGGCTGTCGGAGTTTCACCAGGCCCTTCTCCCACAGTATGCATTTTTGAGGTTGAATAGAACGAGGTATGTCATCCACTAGCCATAAAATAATTGATATGAATACTGGTTTGTTGAGCTATTATCAGCCAAAAGTTAGTCTTAGGTGAAACCATTTTGAAGAAAGGCAAATTCCAAAGCAAATACATAGTTTCATTAACATAGCTTAAGAAAAACATTTCCCTAAGAAAAATGCATTGGTTAGCTCAAGGTTTGAGACAAGTTAGGTTCAGGTGGAACCCGGTGTCCTGGCAACACAGAATTTTATAAGGAAAATATCTGACCCTTCTAGTTTGTTTCCTCTTGCAGGTTAAGGGAGAGATAAAACATGTCTTGACACTTGCAACCTATTTCCTCCATTTGGAGACCCCTGGCCTTCCTGCCTGTTACCCTCGCAAAAAGATGCACAATATCATTAGTCATCAGGAAAATCCATATCAAAACCACAGTGAGATACACCTCACACCTGTTAGAATGGCCCTCATAAAAAATAAGCAAGAAGTAAGTATTGGCAAGGATGTGGAGAAAAGGGAATGCTTGTGCACTCTGTGCTGTTTACTTGTTCATGCATCCATCAGTAGACACTTGATTTGCCTCCACATTTTAGCTGTTGCTAATAATGCTGCTATGAACAGGAGTGTACAGATTTCTTTTCACGACCTTGCTGTCAACTCTACAGCATGTTTTTGTTTGCTTTCTATTACTATAAGTTCATTAAGATAGTTTATTGACTCTTCCTTGGCATTAAGCTTCTTCCTCTCTTGTTAGCTCTGTGGCTTTGGCTTAAATGCTGATCATTTCTGAGGCTTTGTTTCCTTATCTGTGAAATGATTATTAGAGATAGTCCTGTATATATCTGGGTCTTGTGTGTTCTCCCTATAAGATGTTCGTATTCTCTGAATGCCTTTGGCATGGACAGTAGCAAATTGCCAATGACCAATCCCATGATTTAGAAAAAGCCCAGGTTTCCCAATTCAAATTATATACAGGGAAATAAGAAACACTATTACCAGCTTTAGAAAGTGAAGCCAAACTAAAGAGTCTCTTGATGAAGGCGAAAGAGGAAAGTGAAAAACCTGGCTTAAAACTGAACATTCAGAAATTAAGATCAGGCAGGGGACATGGGTAAACCTGTCGCTGTCTCATGTTGATGTTTGGTAGAAACCAATGCAACTCCATAAAGCAATTATCCTTCAAATTAATTAAAGCGAACAAAAAATAAGATCATAGCATCTGGTCCCATCACTTCTTGGCAAACAGAAGGAGAAATAGTGGAAGCAGTGACAGATTTTATTTTCTTGGGCTCCAAAATCACTGAGGAATGTGACTGCAGCTGTGAAATTAAAAGATGTTTGCTCTGTGAAAGGAAAGCTATGACAAACCTAGACAGCATATTAAAAAGCAGAGACATTACTTGGCCAACAAAGGTCTGTATAGTCAAAGGTATAGTTTTTCCAGTGATCATATGCGGATGTGAGAGTTGGACCATAAAGCAGGCTGGGGGCTGAAGAATGGATGCCTTCAATTGTGCTGGAGAAGGCTCTTGAGAGTCCCTTGGACTGCAAGGAGATCAAACCAGTCAATCCTAAAGGAAGTCAACCCTGAATATTTATTGGAAGGACTGATGCTGAAGCTGAAGCTCCAATAGTTTGGGCACCTGCTGCGACGAACCAGGTCACTGGAAAAGACCCTGATGCTGGGAAGGATTGAAGGCAAAAGGAAAGGTGGGCGGCAGAGGATGAGATGGTTAGATAACATCACTGCCTCAATGGACATGAATTTGAGCCAACTCCAGGAAATAGTGAAGGACAGGGAAGCCTGGCATGTTGCAGTCCATGAGGCTGCAAAGAGTTAGACACAACTTAGAAACTGAACAACTACAAATTGCCAGCCTTAAAATTATAGACATTTTATAAGGAATATTTTTTCTTGCATTAAAGAAGTAATGTGATCACATTTTTAAAGTAATCACCCAGATTCTTTCTATCATAATTCAATTTCTGTTAGCATTTTTATTTTTTCCTAATTTTCTCAATTTAATTCATTTTAACATGTTTTGATCATAAATTACTTGTAATTATTTTATCAACTTTCATATCCTACTTAACATAGTTTTTTTGGACTCTTTTAAAAATATGGAAGCAATATTTTAATTTTTGGTCAATCATAAAACTTATTTTTCTATCCTAGTATATTTCATATCTACTGAAATAATATCATGGTATGACCTAAAAGTATCATTATATATTGGCTGTGCATGGAATTGGTATGAAAATCCTGTTTGCACTGAAATAGCAACTTCAATAAATTCCTAATCCTTCTACACTTAAAAACTAATTTAAAAATAAAATGTGACTATAAAGAAAAGGTAGCTTTAATAACATCTGCAATGAGAAGAAACAGGCCAGATAGTTTGATTTAATCATTTCTTATTTTAAAATTAAAGGTCCATTTTAGCTTCTTATCTTCTGAAAGAAAAGCTCAACATCTTGGGCAAGTTGGGGTGTCTGCTAAGCTGTGCGGGTTCTGTCGTGCTGATTATCCATTCCCCGAAATCTGAGAGTGTGACTACTCAGGCTGAGTTGGAGGAGAAGCTGACCAATCCAGGTAACTGAGGCCTCCCTGCTGGAGAGCTTGCTGCCACCATCATGGTTCTCCCCAGGGGAGCAGTGCCCTCTGCCCTGCCCTGCTGTGTGGTCTGTCCTCCAGGCCCTCGGCTCCGCCTTGCTCACCACTGTCCACAGCTGTCCCCTGGGGCTGTCCTGCTGGCCTGGCCCCCTCGCTGCCTCTTGGGACTGGACCTTGTACATTAACATTGCGTCCCTGTCCGTAGCGCAGTGGGTGCCAGCTCTGCGGGTCTCTTCAGATTGTTCCCCTTCGGACCACCAGGGGTCCAGGCCTTGGTTCCTCCCTCTGTTGTGAAGCTGAGAGCCAAGGCCTGATTTAATTCATCTTTAGAGACNGCTCTGCGGGTCTCTTCAGATTGTTCCCCTTCGGACCACCAGGGGTCCAGGCCTTGGTTCCTCCCTCTGTTGTGAAGCTGAGAGCCAAGGCCTGATTTAATTCATCTTTAGAGACCCTATAGAGCTCTGTATGTGTTTTTCGTTTGTTCTTTGGTATGTATTTTTTACCTAGTTTCACTTTCTTTCTTTTTTTGATAACTGCAATCACCACCCTCCCACCCCCCCACCCCCATACCCATGAGACTCGAAAGCTGAAACTCCTGGACATTCAATGTTAGTTGCTCGGTCATGTTCTACTCCTTGTGACCCACGGACTGTAGCCCACGAAGCTTCTCTGTTCATGGGATTCTCCAGGCAAGATTACTGGAGGAGGGAGCCATTCCTTCTACAGGGGATCTTCCCAACCCAAGGATTGAACCAGGTCTCCTGCATTGCAGGCCGATTCTTTACCATCTGAACCACCAGGGAAATCCACTACACATTCAGGCTCAGCTGCTTTTTCTGATTTTTCCACAAACACAGCCCATGCTTTTGCAGTATTTTATAATACGTTTGTGCACACTGCTCTCTCTGTCCTTCACTACCTCTTCCCCTGTTTATAGGTCAGGCTCCCAGACAGCTTGCAGCTGTAGTGTCTTCCTGAATCCTCTCTTGCAGCAGAGCTCCAAGGCTCTTTTCCTTACCCTTGGGGAAGAAGGGACTCCCACCACCTGTTTGCTGGTACACATGTGCAGGCTGTACCCAACCCTCTCAGGCCCAATGCCTAGCACCCACTTTACAATCTGGGAATGAAGTTCATGACAAATACAACTTCCTTGTACATATAAATAGCAGTCAACATAATGGCCTAAGAATAATACTTGGGAATAAAATAGAATGTTCAAGTATAGCCACAGGAATAGATATATTAAAGACAGCAGACCCCACAGCATGCGTGGAGTTGCTGACAATCTGGCAGGTACAAAACAGACGATGTGGAGGTGTTGTCTTATTGACTCACTTGGGATTTTGCCATCATTGATGGGATCTTCTTCTTCTTCTTCTTTTTCTTTGACTGGACCAAACAGCTTGCAGGATCTCAGTTCCCTGACCAGGGGTTAAACCCTGACTCTGTCGGTGAAAGCCTGGAATCCTAACTTACCTGGCCACAAGGGAAATCCCAGCAGTGGGATCTTCTGAAATGGAAAATAACTCTTGAAGTACTGAAAAATTCAATATATGTTAACTGCTTGCCAAATTACTTTGTTTTATACATAAAACAGGTTCTAGGCTCTGATTATTATAAACGTTTTTCAGTTACCTGTCCGAGGTGACACTCAGAAGTTGTGAGGAGAACCCAATGATTTTTTGTTGTGTGAGACTGTCTGCACATGAGGACCCACGGCCTCTGCGTGCAGCCCTCAGTCCGTGCCACAGCCAGAGATACCCCACAGTTTTCCTTCATGTTCTTTAAGGCCCCACATGACTCTCTTTCCCTGCCCCCCCCACCCCGCCCCCAACAGGAGTACTCTGCCTAGGGTTTGTTGAATTGACCATCTTGTGAAATGGCTTAAAATAAAATTCTTGAGACTTCCCAGGCAGTCCAGGGTTGGGACTCTGTGTTTCCACTGCAGGCAGCATGGGTCTGATCCCCGGTGGGGATAATTCTGTGTGCCATGCCATGTGTGCAAAAAAGAAAAAGAAAAATCTCATAGTGTATATGTTGACTTCTAATGTTATAAAATATTACTAATAGAAGACTTATGTAGGAGCTATGACTTTTTTAATGGTGAAAATAGTGATGGGAAAAAGTTTTTGTGGATTGAGCTCAGTGGGTCTGGTAAAGCACACCTGGAGCAGTGGATGTCCTGGTGGCAAGGGCAGGGGCAGGTGGCGGAGCGTGTGATGGGGGCTGCTCTGCTGGGCCCCCCGCATCACTGTGTGCCCTCTCTTTTCCAGTGTTTGTGGGCTATCTGTGCATCGTGCTGCTCATGCTGCTGCTGCTCATCTTCTGGATTGCACCGGCCCATGGGCCCACCAACATCATGGTCTACATCAGCATCTGCTCCTTGCTGGGGAGTTTCACCGTGCCTTCCACCAAGGGCATTGGGCTGGCTGCCCAAGACATCTTCCACAACAACCCGTCTAGTCAGCGGGCCCTCTGCCTGTGTCTGGTGCTCCTGGCCGTGCTTGGCTGCAGCATCATCGTCCAGTTCAGGTACATCAACAAGGCCCTTGAGTGCTTCGACTCCTCTGTGTTTGGGGCCATCTACTATGTTGTGTTCACCACACTGGTCTTGCTGGCCTCAGCCATCCTCTTCCGGGAGTGGAGCAACGTGGGTCTGGTGGACTTCTTGGGCATGGCCTGTGGGTTCACCACTGTCTCCGTTGGAATTGTCCTTATACAGGTGTTCAAAGAGTTCAACTTCAACCTGGGGGAGATGAACAAATCTAATGTGAAAACAGACTAGGATGTAACAGGAAATTGTATGGCTTGAGGAACAGAAAGAAGATACGGTCTCTGGTCCTAATTTGATGTGAAGAAGAAAAGTAAATTTACACAAGTACATCGCTTGTGTTGGAGTTGCTTGTATATGATGAATAGGCTGGTGGAGAATGAGGATGCGTTGCTTAGCACTGGAGTGTGGACTCAGCCTTCTGTTCACTGAAGTTGCTCAGTGGTTGCCTGAGTGTCATCTCTCTCTGATGAGAGGAATCTTATGTTCATTGCCATTAACCTGGAAGCTTTGATGAATACTCTTTGCTTTTAAAACACTATCATTATTTAAATAGAATGGGCCTATTCTGGTTAGTGTTTGCAGGGGAACAGATGTTCTTATTTAGAAGCTTACTTTGGAAATAGGAGAAAGTGTTGTCTTGAAGTCTGACTTTACAGTAAATGTGTGTCTTTAGTCTTGTTATTTTGCATTAAGCATGTATAAAATTCAGGTGTTCCATCCAAATCAGAGGTATATACATTTAATTGTTTTTAATCCTCTGATGTGTTGACTCTCCTACCCCTGACTCCTAGACATTTTAATTGGAAACAGAGAGAGAAGAGTG